ATCATAGATGGGGTGCTTTGTATTCCACCCACACTGTGTTTGCAAACTCCCACAGAGCAGCCTTGCAACATTGTGCCTTTAGGCTCTGCTTGGTTTTGCATTTCTCCCCACTCCCTTCCTCCTTTCAGTAAGCCCGAGCTTCTGGGATTGAAAGGGTACAAGGCTACCGCACAAGATGACTGACTCAGGATCGCATCACGGCCATGGGAGGGGTGGGAGGACCAGCTGCCATCAATTTGCACAGCCAAGTAGATGAGAGGATGTGGGCGTGTGCAGAGGGGGAGGGCACAGTGCTCATCTCTGATGCGAAGTCTATTCCCTTAAAGGCGGGAGTAGCATCGCCTCTCCCTGCAAGTGTCTTGAAACTCTGAAGATTTCAGCAAACGTGTCTTACCAGGAGGATAGGCAGTCCATCAGGATTGAAAATACAGAAGCAGTGACAACACACACCCAGCTTCAGTTCTTAGGAGAGTTTTGGTTTTGATTTTTTTTTTTTTTTTCCAGTTTGGAGAACTGGATCTACCCTGCTAACTGATTCTTTTTTTAATGGATCTACACTGTTAACTGATTGAGGCTCTGTTGCGATTCACTGGTTTACTCAAACACTTCTCAGGGATGCCTGTACATTTCAGTATTACATGTCATGAAAACAGGCGTGAGTGGATCTGTTGGTCGAGATTGTATCTACTCTTTCAAATACTGATGGAAAGAATAACTGGCTTATACTGTGTTTTAAATAAAAGTATTGCCGATAAGTCCTCCAGGACATTAAACCTTAAAAATTATTGTTAGGACTCCATGTTTAAATACCCTTCCACAAACACGCTTGTGGAAGCTGTTTTTTCTCTCCTGGATTTCCCCTCTGGGGTCCCCTTCTACACTCTCTTCTGGAAGCTTGTCTTCCCCTCCTAAACTCCATCTCTCTCTCTATTCCCTTCTACTCAGTGTGGAAGCTGCTTTCCTCTCCTGGATTGCATCTTTCTGGATTCTCTCAGTGTGAGAGTTAGCTGTTTCTTTCTCTCTCCTTCTCCTGTTTCTCTGTCTCCAAATAAATCACTTTCTACCAACAACAACAAAAAAAAAAGCAAAAACTATTTTTAAGCTGTTATTATTGTAAGGGAAATACAAGTGGCTGGAAAATACCACAGATATTCAAAAGTGGCTGCATTGAAAGAGCAGGAAGGGATTCTGGCTTGCAATGCCATAACTTCAGCGTTTCTATAGTTACTGAGCTAAATCATATGATTATCGAGTTGACAGTTTCTAAATCTGTCTGCGAAAGGTTTAAGAATCTACTGTTTTTGTGAAGTCACACTTAGGCTGCCTCAGAAACCCCTGGGTACTGGAATGGTCATACAGAAGTAAGGAAGTCAGTTTAAAATGTCAGTGACATTATTACAGAGTCCAGGCACGGTGGCTTATGCTTGTAATCCAAGCACTTTGGGAGGCTGAGGCAGATTACTTGAGTCCAGGAGTTTGAGATCAGCCCGTGCAACATGGCAAAATCCTGTCTCTACAAAAAATACAAATTTATCCAGACCTAGTGGTGCACTCCTGTATAGTTCCAGAGACTGGGAAGTCAGGGCTGCAGTGAGCCAAGACGGCACCACCGCATTCCGGCCTGGTAACACAGCCAGACCCTGTCTCAAAAAAAAAACGAAAAAAGATTTTTTAAATGGGTGGGTCTGCTTCTTTAAAAAGCAAAAGTGAAATAATGCCCAACAGCACATTTACTCTCTTAAAAGTAATTTCAGGCTGGGCGTACTGGCTCATGCCTGTAATCCCAGCATTTTGGGAGGCCGAGGAGGGATGGATCACCTGAGGTCAGGAGTTTGGGATTAGCTTGGCCAACAGGACAAAACCCCATCTCTACTAAAAATAGAAAAATCAGCAGGGTGTGGTGGCACCCACCTATAATTCCAGCTACCTGGGAGGCTGGGAGTCAGAGGTTGCAATGAAGCGAGATCGCACCACCACACTCCAGCTGGGCAACAGAGTGAGACTCTCTCTCTCAAAAAAACAAATTTCATATGGGTTGAATGTTTAAAGGCAAATGATCACAATTTTGATATTTTGTCTGTATTTTATACCGTAGGTGACTTAGAGCCTGATTTAACGTGGCTTTGCCATGACTACAGATATGTGGATCTGTAACCAAATCTATTGTTCTGTTTTTACACAACCAAAAAAACCTGATTTAGTTACTAGGACTGAAGAAAACTGGGCAAACGAAGGCCCAAGAGACTAGGTCCCTACGTCTGCCATCCTTGGCAGCTGCATTTCATGGTTAGGAAAAGTAAGGAAATAGCTGGGCACGGTGGCTCACGCCTGTAATCCCAACACTTTGGGAGGCTGAGGCAGGCAGTTTGCAAGGTCAGGAGATCAAGACCAGCCTGACCAAAATGGTGAAACCCCGTCTCTGTTAAAAATACAAAAATTGGCCGGGCGCAGTGGCTCAAGCCTGTAATCCCAGCACTTTGGAATGCCGAGGCGGGTGGATCACGAGGTCAAGAGATCGAGACCATCCTGGTCAACATGGTGAAACCTCGTCTCTACTAAAAATACAAAAAATTAGCTGGGCATGGTGGCACGTGCCTGTAATCCCAGCTACTCAGGAGGCTGAGGCAGGAGAATCGCTTGAACCTGGGAGGCCAAGGTTGTAGTGAGCTGAAATCACACTTCTGCACTCCAGTCTGGGCAACAGAGCAAGACTCCATCTCAAAGGAAGAAGAAGAAAATAAAAACTCAGGAAAGGAGACCTCCTTTTCTGTAAGGAGGCTCCAAGCTCCAAGCGGGTGGGCTGGGGAGACTGCCCAGGGCTGCCAGTGCGAAGGCCTTCATCCCTTTGAAGGCCTCTGTCTCGGGAGCAAGGACCCTCTCCTTGGCCTCAAGTCCTGGCCCTCATTGGTTAAAACACAGTCACTTGTCTGTCTTTATGACCTGCCTGTTTGTGACTGAGATGATCATATAGAAAAAGGTCAGTTTGAAATATTCGTGAGTGAATGATTAAAGAGGCTGGGCGCGGTGGCTCACGCTTGTCCTCCCAGCACTTTGGGGGGCTAAGGTAGGTGGATCACTTAAGCCCAGAGCTCTCTGCAGGAAGTCCCAGACACCCTGCAGCAGGCGGGAGGAGAGGGCAGGACAACCCTGGCTCCGCCCAAACTCTCCCAACTTCCACCTCCCAAAGGCCACAAAGGGGACTGGGACAGGAGCAGAGGACTGGGGTTCTGGTGGCGTCTGAAACGTTCATGGTGGTCAGTGCAAAGCATTCCTGGGAGGGTCCGTGGTCACCTCTGTCCCTGGGTGGCTGGGCTCCAGCGGCCCTTCCTTCCTTCCATCCATCCATCCTTCTGTCCTCGCCTCCTCCCAGCATGTGGCACCCCCATGTCCTAAGCCTGTGTCACTTTCTTTCCATGGATTCTGTAACCATCTTCCTCTTCTCACTGACTTGGCATCTAGGGGATTCTTGGTGGAGGAAGGTAACTGGTAAGAAATGACATACTGAGGCCAGGCCTGGTGGTACATACATGTCTGTAGTCCCAGCAGTTTGGGAGACCGAGGCAGGCAGATTACTTGAGTCCAGGAGTTCGAGACCAGCCTGAGTAACACAGTAAGCCCCCATCACTACAAAAAAAAAGACGTACGTACTGAGAAACTAGCAAAGAGTCTTCATGTGGTCCTCAGCCCAGCCTCGAGGGTCCTGGGCTGGTCATGTCACCATCCCCACACTGTGTCTCCAGATCCAGACTCCACAGGAAGGGCCTTGGGAGGCCTGGCACACAGGGTGCCTGGTCTGACAAACATCCCTCCATTCCCCAGACTGAAGCTCGTCAAAAGGTGCAGGCGGTGCCACTTCACTGTCTCCTTTGAGATGAGCCATAGGGCCTTGTGGGAGGTGAGCATGAAGCTGGGTGCCTGGAGCCTGAAGCCAGCTATCCCTCCCTGTGTCCTGGAGAAGGGGCCCTGTGCCCAAAAGACCCCCAGGGGCCTGGCCTGTGGGTGCAGACATGGGGTGGGGAGAGTCTGGGTTGAGTGAGGGCCATAGGTAGGGGACTTTGAGCACCATGGCTGAGGGGCCTGGTCAGTGGCGGCCTGGTCGGTGGCGACCTGGACATTGTGGCCTGGTCAGCGGGGCCTGATCAGTGGGGCCTGAACATTGTGGCCTGGTCAGAGGCGGCCTGGTCAGTGGGGCCCGAACATTGTGGCCCGGTCAGAGGGGGCCTGGTCAGTGGCGCCCGAACATTGTGGCCTGGTCAGAGGGGGCCTGGTCAGTGGAGGCCTTGTGAATGAGGACACAGTCCTTGGGGATACAGAGAACACCTAGTGAATGGGGTTCTCTGACTATGTCCCCAAGGACTGTGTCCTTGTTCTCAAGGAGGCCTGGTCAGTAAGAATCCAGTCTGTGGGAGGCCTGATCAGCTGTGACCTGGTCAGAGGTCCTTGAGTTAAGGACCTAGTCACTTAGCACCTCATTGGTGGGGGCCCAGTCAGTGGGACCTGGTCTGCAGGGGTCTTGTCAGTTGGGCCCAGTCAATGGGGGAGTCTCATCCGTGAGGCCTGGCTAGTGGGGCCTGGTCAGTGGAGGTTTACTCAGTGGGGTCCCGGTAAGTTGAGGCCTCATCAGTGGGACCTGGTCAGTGTGCATGTGGTTAGCAGGGGGCTCATGAACTGGGGCCTGGTCAGTGGACCTGGACAATGGAGCGTTGGTCATTGACGTCCTGGTTTGTGGGGTCTAGTCAGTCAGGGTCTGTTCAGAAAGACCTGGTCAGTGGGGGCCTGGTCACTGGGGCCCTGGAGAGTGGGGACTATTCAGTAAAGGCCTGGGTCACTGGGTCCTGGTTAGTGAGGCCTGGTCAATGAGGGTCTGGGTCACTGGGGTCCTAGGTAGTGGGCCTTAGTCAGTAAAGGTCTGGTCATTGAGGACCTGGCCAGTCAGAACCCTGTCAGTTAAGGACCTGGCCAGTCAGAACCCTGTCAGTTAAGGACCTGGCCAGTCAGAACCCTGTCAGTTAAGGACCTGGCCAGTCAGAACCCTGTCAGTTAAGGACCTGGTCAGTTGGAACCTTGTCAGTTAAGGGCCTGGTCAGTTGGAAGCTTGTCAGTTGGGCCCAGTCAATGGGGGCCTGGTCAGTGGGGACATGGTCAGTGGGGACACAGTAAGTGGGGGCCTGGTCAGTGGGGACATGGTCAGTGGGGACACGGTCAGTGGGGGCCTGGTCAGTGGGGACATGGTCAGTGGGGAAATGGTAAATGGGGGCCTGGTCAGAGGGGACACAGTCAGTGGGGACATGGTCAGTGGGGGCCTGGTCAGTGGGGACACGGTCAGTGGGGACATGTTCAGTGGGGGCCTGGTCAGTGGGGACACAGTCAGTGGGGGCCTGGTCACTGGGGACACGGTCAGTGGGGGCCTGGTCTATGGGGGCCTAGTTAGTTGGTTCGATGCAGTAGGAGTCCTGGTTAGTGGGGCCTAGTCAGTAAAGGTCTGGTCACTAATGACCTGGCCAGTCAGAACCTCATCAGTTAAGGACCTGGCCAGCTGGACCCAATCAGTGGGGGCCTCGTCAGTGGGTCCTGGGTAGTAGGGTCTGGTCAGTGAAAGTCTAATTGATGAGGCCTAGTTAGTGGGGTCCAGGTAGTGAGGGCCTAATCAGGGGGACCTGGTCAGTGGTCAGTGAGGGCTTGGTGAGTAGAGGCCCAGTCAGTGGGGCCTCATGCCTGGTGTGAACCTGGTCTTCAGGGGCCTGGTCAGCAGGTGACTGGTCAGCAGTGACCTGGTCAGTGCAGCCCTGGCCAGTGACTGCCTGATCACTGGACCTAATCCATAGGGTCTGGCGGGGGAGGGGATGGGGGAAGAGGGGACGGCCGTCAATGGGGCCTGGTCAGTGACATCCTGGTCAGCAGGGTCCTAGTCAGGGGGAGCCCAATCAGTAAGGCCTGGACATCATTGGGGGCCTGATCAATGAAAACTTGGTCAGCAGAGTTGGTCAGTGTGGTCTGGACATTGGAGACTGGTTAGTGGAGACCCAGTCAGTGAAGACCTGCTCATCAGGGCCTGTTCAGTGAGGGCCAGTGGGGACATAGTCAGTAGGGACATGGTCAGTGGGACATGATCAGCAGGTGTCTAGGTCCATGTAGCCCTGGTCAGCAGGGGTGTGGTCAGTTGGACCTGGTCATCTCAGGACTGGTCCTCAGGGGCTACTCTGATGTCATAAGTCTCCCCTGACAGTGCCAGTCCCCTGACCTACGGCCAATGGTGTCCTTTATATCTCTCCCAGCACAGGGCCAGGGTGTGGGGATGTCCAATGCAGGGAGGAGGCGCAGACAGCAGGAAGGAGAGAAGAAAGGAAGGAGCTTCCGGAGTACGGATGCCTACGACGTCACAACGCGTGGCGCCATTTATACTCCATCGCCATGTTCGCTGCTGCTTTCCCACGTGATTCTCTACTCAACTGGCCCCAAAACCATCCCTGTACTACCACGAATATCTGGCCGTGGCTCTTTGATGGCAGTTTTTATCCTGCCGTAGAAATTATCCTTGAACAGGAAAAAGTCCCCAACCCAACGTCTGGTCACTCGCCACTCTCATCTGTCTTTATAAAGAGCCACTTCCAAATTCTGGGTTGCTTTTTGGAAAAGTAATATCTGTTGCGGTAAAAGACTGCATCTGTGATCTCAACTCTCTACTGGAACTGTATAGAGGTGATGCATGGCAGCTAAGGCAGCCGAAGAACTCGCGTCCTGCGCTCCTGACCGCCATCACCCCTGCAGTTCCATCTTCCCTCCTCCCACAAGCCCCCTGCTCCTCATGACTATGGTAAGAGCTCCTCTGTGAACGTCGAAGATGCCTGGGAGGTTGGCCGGTGTCCCTGGGGTGGCAGGTCCGAGACGGGGTCCAGGTCCTGCCTGGGACAATCTGGGAAGAGCTTGCCGATGGCATCACAGGCACCTCAGCAAAGGGAATGGCTTGGTTCAGGCCCACCCAGAAGGCCTGCTGGGCCCACTGCAAGACCTAGCTGAGGGCACAGAAGGGCTGGCCACCTGCTGAGACTCCTTCTTGAAGCCCCTCACCTGCCTGCCGTGAGCGCCATGCCCTGTGGCTGAGCGGCAGCACTGTCGTCCACCAACCTGGGGAAGCATCTGCTGCCATCCATCTTGCTCTCCACCTCCTGCTGCGGCACATGGAAGTCCTGGAGGACGTGGCACTGCACCAGCACCCGGCCACCGGCCAGGTGGCTCATCCCACAGCTCAGGCTCTTCCTGTGCATGGAGAAATCCTCCTGGAGGTGGCCCATGGCTCGATTCTTGGGCAGGTGGGGCATGGAGATGACTGGGAACTTCCCTAGACACACATCCAGCTAGTTCAAGGGCTTGTTGTGCCATGCAGCAGTTTCTGCCTGTGCGTGGCACCCTCTTGCAAGAGAGGTAGCTCTCCATGCCCTTGAGCTTGCTCTACTGACTGTTGTAGCTTGTGGTGTACCGGCAAGGGTAGGGGCTCTCCTGCCACTTGGGGCCACGGGGCCACAGCACCCACAGCACCATGCACACAAGCTTGTCCCTGTCCTTCACAGAGCCTGACGCCTCGCCAAGCACAAAGGCCTCCCTTCCCGACTTGAAGAAGGTTGTGGCTCACAGTGATGGAGCTCCTGCCCACGTGGGGACCCTAGGAGCCGTAGCGCTCCAGCTATGCAGCTCTGCCCAGTGCACCTGGCTCATCCACCATCAAGAAGCTGCCATCCCACTTGTCGTCCTAGTCATCATCACTGCCCTGGCTGGCCTGGTTGCCATCAAGGAGTTGCCGGGACCATGGCTGCAGGGCACCCCTAACGCCTGGAAAGCCCACACTGGCTGCTGGAAGGCATTCTGTGGTGACACCTGCTGTGGCACCTGGAAAGCACTGAGATGTGGCTTCAAGGAGGCAGCCACTGCACCAGGCAGAGCCTCGAAGCCTCTGGGTGGTATGATGGCCATGACACAGTGGGCAGAGGCACCAGGGCAGCTGTGGGATGTTGGACCTTTCCAGGGAAGTGGATCATTGCAGATAGAAGTCCAGGGTTGCCGCGGCGAGACCCTGTGACTCAGCCCTTGATGTCCTGCTCCCTACTCCGGCTCAGCGCTTCATGTCCTCACAGTGAGATCACTCTCAAATTCTCCACCATCGAGTGGTACAGTAGTGAAATCCACAGTGCCACCATCCCCCGCATGGTCATCCTGGTCACTGTGGGGGCACATGGCACCTGTAGTTCCCCTCCCCTCCCAGGGCCCGGGTTGAGGCCGGGGACCTCTGGTCCTGGGAACTGTGCCCGCCCCAAGAGTGGGGCTCTGTCCCACAGGTTGGGCGAGAGGCCACAAGGCATGCCACTGATGGCCGGGGCCACAGGGGCACCACGCTCACCGCTCTCTGGGGAAGTCTCAGAGTGAACAGCTTTCCTGTTGACGATGACTTCCCAAGACCCAAGAGCCATCTGCGGCTGCGGAGTGGCTGGCCAGGTGCTGCCCGGCGAGAGGAGTCGGATGCAGGTGCCATTGTGTAGAGAAATGTGTCCAGACTTGCCTCTTGGTTATCATGGGACACCATAGCTCCCGGTGTCGGGGCCCTGATGGAGCTGCCGAGCTGATCCAGGGCAGATGTTGAAGTGACAGAAGCTCAGCATCCCTGTTCAAAGTTGTAGCACAGGAACCATCAGGCCCTGAGGCCATCCCCTGGAAAGCATCCACTGGAAGCTTTGGCATGGAATTCCAGCACAGGTACCTTCAGGGAACTGGCAGGTCTATTTCTAGAAGTGTATCTATGTAGAGGAGGAAGAGGTGTGGGAAGAAATCCCAGTAGTGGGGCTGCAGGGACCCAGGCGCCCTCTATTATCAACTGTCCCAGGAGGTGACTCGGGGGGGACCTGGTGCTGTCCTGGGCTGGGCACGGCCTCACACTCTGAGCCCCGGAGGTTCCTAGAGAATAACCTTCTGCCCTGGACTCTGCAGAAGCCCCCAAATGCCTCTGAGGGCCTCCGCCTCAGGGACAGCCTGGCCAGGCCAGAGTGTAGGAGAACCAGGTGACCAGGCTCCAGTTCCAGAGGGGCCCCCTGCATGGGCCACTGGAGCTGGGCCAGTGGGTAGGAGAGGGTTAGCCAATCCCCCTTGGAGAGAGGCTTAATGCTGGGAAACACCCAGAGAGGCCTGGGTGCTGGGGTCCCTCACTCAGGTTTGGCTGTACAGGAAAAAGGAATACCCAACTTCTCCCCGAAGCCCATCAGGTGTCCTTGCAGGGCCAGGCTCTGCAGATCTGGGTCTCTGGAGGCCTTGGGGTCTCTCTGTGCTCTGCCTTAGATACCGAGGACACCCCTGCAGGCTGCGGATCCCAGAGCAAGGGGTGTGTGCAGCCAGCGGGCGTATCCTCCAGGATGGTAACACAGGGCTTGGGGCTGGCTCAGGGCTTCCTGCCTCACGTCCTCATGCCAGAGCTGTGTGGCCTGGGATGCAGCCGTGATTCGGGGCTCGGGTGGAAACAGGCTCTCACTTTCACATGACCCCCTTGCCACCTCACACAGGGGCCTGTGTCCCCAGTGGGTGAGACTGTGGAGTCTCCTGGGCACGGGTCCCCCTCTGCTCTCCGGGGCCGTCCACTCCATGCCAGGACTGGGCCATTTCCATGCCCAGCTGGACTCTTGGTTCTGGCTCTGGGCTGGGGCTCCTGCCAGGATCTTCTCCCCAAATCCTCTGGATCAGAAACACTGATTCTCTTGTTCCCCTGGCATTCTTGGAGGGGCACTCTGGAGCGAGGGGCACCTGCTCCTCCGGGCATCTGTGGATGCTCACAGGCAGGGCAGGGAGCTCACACCGAGTGGGGAGAAAGTGTAAAGAGTGCAGGGCGCGCAGAGGGGTCTTTCTCCAGCCCCTTCCTGTCTGAGCAGCATGTCCAGTACACATGCGCTCAGCACCTGACCAGAAGACTAGGCAGGTGTATTTCTAGAAGTTTCTCTAGACGAGGAGTAGGTGCGTGAGGAAGGTCCAGGTAGTGGTGCTGCAGGGGACTCGGGCCCTCTCTACTTTGGAGCACCCCAGAGAGTGACTCGGGAGGGGACCTGGTACTGGAGCCTCCCCGGGCATGGCAGGTCCTAGCGCCTCCTTATGAGTTCTTTCAGAGAGACTTGAAGGTGCCTGAGAATAACAGTGTCCTTTAGGGCCCAGGCCTGGGAGAACTGCTCCTGAACCGATTTCCACAGGCTGGACTGGGCAGGTTCACCAGGCACTCCAGGGACAGTGGGGGCAGCCTGGAAGGAGTCGGAGCCCACACCCAGTTTACACCATAGCTACCTCCCACTCGGAGGTGCTGGGTCCTTTCGCAGCTGGGTCCTCGTGGCGTCCAGCTGGGCACAGGCCAGGGCCAGAAGGAAGCCTGGGTGAGGAGGTGCCCACCACACTCCTGCCTTTGATCTGGGTCTTGTCGAGGTGGGCTCCCTGTCTGGGAGGACGCGGTGTCCTTCCCAGCACAACAGGCCTGGTCTGACCCTCCAGACTGAAGCAGAGGATCGTGGGGACAGTGTGAGGGCACTCTCCTCAGGCCAGGCAGGCTCTGTCCTGGGCGCCCACCCCACGGAGCCGCTGTGAGTATGAACAGGAGGACCGTCTACCCAGTCAGCGCAGAGCGGGCCCTCAGTGAGCACTTGGGGATGACCCTCCTTGGGAGTCGCCACCCACCAGATAGCGACTGTCCCCAGGCCAGCAGGGAGAGAAGAGAACAGGTCTCGCTCTCCTGAGTCTGATCATGCAGCTGCGCTGAGATGCGCCTCTGGCCTAGAAAAGCATCCTGTGGGCAGAACCACACACACCGCTGTGTCTCCAACTGCTGTACGACACAGAGCCCGGCGGGTACGTGGGCATTCGGTAATGGTGACATTGTGGAGGTCACGGCGCCCCTCACAATGGAGGGCCGAGGGGCGGCCTCCTCTGTCCCCTGAAGCATTGACGCATGTGCGTGAAATTCGTAATGTGTCTGTGTACTTGACCTTGCAGGTAGATATGGGTGTGCGCGCATCTCTCCTCCGGCCAGGCCTGGCTGCCCCACTCGTGGGCCCCCAGGTCCTCAGCACTGTCACTCTGGAACCCATGCTGAGCACCAGAGCATCCACAGGTGCACCCCAGCCTCTGCCTTCAGACATGGTGGTCCTGGGGATGTAGGTAGGGCAGGGGGTCCCCCTGAGGGGGACCCGGTGTGTACAGTGCTAAATCAGCATAGCAGGGCCATATTCAATGCACCTCACCTCCTCCTCCTGGTAGCTCTCTGGGGTACAGTGATTCATCCCCCCTACAATGGAAGAAAGGAGGCTTCAAGGACAAACCCCCTGCCTGAGGGCACCCAGCAGCCAGCTGACCTGGTCCTGACTAGCTCCCCACTAACCAGGCCCCCACTCAAGAGGTCCTGTTGACTGAAACCCGACTGACCATGTTCTGCTGACCAATCCCTGCAGACTGGGTCCCCCCAATAAGGCCCCAGTGACCAAGCCACCACTGACCAGGTCCCCAGTGACCCATCTCCCCAGACCAAAACCCATTTTCTTGAGTTACGTGGAGCTCACGAGGGTTCAAAGCTGAGCGGGGACAGGCTAAGCTTCACAATCAGGACACTTTGAATGTTTCCAGGGATTTCCACATCATTCTCCAAGGTGATGTTACCAATTCGCTCTCCCATCATTAAGGCTCCCATCATTAAGGGCTTCTTCCTGCCTCCAAAACTGTTGGCATTGCCGGACTTTTATCTTGGGTAATGGGTTTGAAATGCCTCATGGTGGCTTCCCATCCCTCATAACTGGTAAGGTTGGGTGCCCTTGTGTTTTCATCCTGTGCCACCCAGGTGCCCGCCCCCACCTCTTTGCTGTCTCTGCTTCATAAGAAGATCTTGTTGCCCCGTCAACTCCAAGTGATCACAGGTTCAGGGGTGCCCCCAAAATGAGGTGCTTAGTGTTTGATGAATGACGTTGAGACCAGAACAGGTCAGGAGGCAGATGGCCCTTGTGAACAGAAAGGGTTTCTTCCAAGTCTAGACATGACCAGAGAGAAAAAGGGGAGAAGGGTAAGCCTGATTTTGAAAGATGAGAATTGGACATGAAGGAGGAGAGGGGGAAGAATAAGCAGTTGACTAAAATATATACGTGGTGATTCCGTGCATATGATCAAAACACGATCATGTGATCATGTACACTTCTCAAGCTCAAATGGAAGAAGCACAAATGGAAATGACCCTCCTCGGGCAGCCACCCGCTACCAGATAGCGACTGTCCCCTAGCAGGGAGGGAAGAGAACAGGTCTCACTCTTCTGAGTCTGATCATGCAGCTGCGCTGAGATGAGCCTCTGGCCTAGAAAAGTGTCCTGTGGGCAGAACCGCACACACTGCTGTGTCTCCAACTGCTGTACGACACAGAGCCAGGCGGGTACTTGGGCACTTGGTAATGCCCATTCCTTAACATATAAGTTTCCCCATTCCTCCCACAAAGCACAAAACCCTGGGCTGGACATCGTACATAAAAACGTGGGACTGGATAGGATTCCGCCTTTAAAAACTAGAAAGCTTGTGTTTACCACGCGGATGAACCCGGAAGACGTTCAGTGAAATAAGCCAGGCACAGAAAGACAAACACGGCCTGTCTCACTTGAATCTAAAAAGCTGAACTCTCGGGAGCTGAGGGAGGGGAGGAGGGATTAGACAGATGCTGGTCAAAGGGCGCAGGAGGAATTGTTCAACAGGGTGACTCTCATGTATTCTCGAAAAATGCTGAGCAGGCTGGGCGCAGTGGCTCACACCTGTAATCCTAGCACTCTGGGAGACCCAGGTGGATCACTTGAGGCCAGGAGTTTGAGACCAGCTTGGGCAATACAGAGACCTCATTTTTTTTTAATATATAAAAAAATTGCTGAGCAGATTTTAAGTGTTCTTCCCACAAAAAAAAAATTATGTATGGTGACGGGTATGTCAAGGACGTATTAGCTTGATATGTGTATTTTACACTGTATTCCTATGTCAAAACATGTTCTATGCATAATTACAATTTTGTCAAAATAAAAAGTGAGAAATGGGATCAAAATAGAAAATAAGACTGAGTGGTGGAGAGGAGAGAGACACACAGGGGATTTCGGGACTCACGGAATGACACAAAAGTGAGTTATGTGGGTTTTTTCCGAGTCGAAATCAGCCCAGACTTGGACCTGAAGAAGCTGAGAACCCGTGAACGCCACCAGGCACAGTCAAAAAAGCATTTAAAAAAAAAAAAAAAAAAAAAAAAAAAAGCCCAAACAAAACCTGTTCGCTCTAGCCAAAGGACCAGGAGAGGGGGCAGCCCAGCGAGATCCGGCACATTTAGACAATTACCGCTAACTAAGCCGGTCCTTGGCCTTGGGTTGATTTTTCTGCTACCTCACTTTGGGGCCGGGCTGGTCCTCCACCCTCCCAGGATGCGTTTCTCAATCCAGACGCTGGGGGGCGCCGGTACATCGCGAGCCCCGCGAGGGTCATTCCTGGGACGCCGCGGAGTCTCCTCCCCTCCTAGGGACACAGAGCTTCCAAGGGCCGCGCTTGTAGGTTTTCAAGAGGTCGCCAAAAACATTCAAGACCCAGAAGGAAAAAAACTGTAACAGCACACACTTCGATGTTTGACCACGTAAAAGCAAGGCTACAAAATCAAACACCTGAAGGGAATGTCTACTTAGCTGGACAACCGTGTCCACCTGGATTCATTCACCGTTGGCTCCAGAACTCCCCCAACGGTGCCAGCCATCATGTTGGAAAATCATTTATGGGTTGGATCTTCTCTATTGTGTGTGTGACAGGGTCTTGCTATGTTGCCCAGGCTGGAGTGCAGTGGCGCAATCACGACTCACTGTAGCCTCAAACTCCTGGGCTCGAGTTTGATCTTCCCACTTCAGCCTCCCCAGTAGCGGGAAGGGTGCACACCACCATGCCCAGCTAATTTTTTTTTTTTTTTTTTTTTTTTTTTTTTTTTTTTGTAGAGTCAGAGGTCTAACTATATGGCCAGGGCTGGCCTCAAACTCCTGGGCTCAAGTGATCCTCCTGCCTCGGCCTCCCAAAGTGCTGGGATTATGGGTGTTAGCCACCACACCCAGCTTCTTCTTTTTCTTTTTTTTTTTTTTTTAGACTGAGTTTTGCTCTGTCGCCCAGGCTGGAGTGCAATGGTGTGATCCTCCACCTCCTGAGTTCAAGCTATTCTCCTGCCTCAGCCTCCCAAGTAGCTGGGACTATAGGCACCTGCCATCACACCTGGCTAGGGTTTGTATTTTTAGTAGAGACAGGGTTCCACTGTGTTAGCCAGGATGGTCTCGATCTCCTGACCTCGTGATTGCCCACCTCGGCCTCCCAAAGTGCTGGGATGAAAGGTGTGAGCCACCACTCCCAGCCCTCCTTTTCATGTTTTAAACAGGAAGAAATACATTCAATGTGAGTGCCTTTTAATGTTTGATATTAAACAGAATATTGGCTATTATCAGTATCAGTATTAGAGATGCTCCACCCAGCCCTCTGCCTTGACCTATGCTGTTCCATTTGGCCTCCATCACCCTTCCCTTCCCACATCAGCCAATTTACCTCTGATTCATCCTTCATATTTCAGCTCAGTGTCACCACCTCAGGGAAACCTTCCCTGGTCCCGAGGGACAAGATACTGTTTGTCTTCATCTGGAACATCAGAAGTGCTCAATAACAAATGAATGAATGAATGAACACAGGTGCCTAAGCATGATAGCCTTGTCCTTGCAGGGCCTTCACATGCAACTCTAAATACATACGACCTGACTGCAAAAATACGGATACTGGCTCACAAAGTCATCCTGCAAGATCAGGCACATTCCACTCCTCTCCTCCTGCCAGCTCTCTGTGCCAGCCCTGGGCTGAGCCACATCAGGGCAGCAGAGAAAGCTCAACCTGAAACTCTGCCCTTGAGAAGCTCCAGCCTAGAGTTCAGTGGCCTGGTCATGGCTCACTGTAGTCTTGAACTCCTGGGCTCAAGCAATCCTACTGCCTCAGCCTCCTAAGTAGCTGAGACTAGGTCAGGCACGCTGCACCCAGATGATTTTTGTAGAGAGAGATTTTCCATTAACATCAATAATCTTGTTCAAAGTATTGAGCCTTCTCTCAGCTTCTACTGATCTAACAGAATTATTGTAATCCTGGCACTTTGGGAGGCCAAGGTGGATGGATCATTTGAGGTCAGGTCAGGAGTTCAAGACCAGCCTGACCAACATGGTAAAACCCCACCTCTACTAAAAAAAAAAAAAAAACAAACAGAATTAGCTGAGCATGGTGGCACATGCCTGTAATCTGAGCTACTTGAGAGACCAAGGCAAAAGAATTGCTCGAACCCGGGAGATGGAGTTTGCAGTGAGTCGAGATCATGCCACAGTACTCTAGTCTGGGCAACAAGAGGAAAATTTCATCTTAAAAAGAAAAAAAAGACTCTAGTGGATTCATGGCTGAAGCAACATAGTAGTTTATTTCTCACATAACAGAGAAGGTCAGTGCCTGGCTCTACTCCGTTCAGTCGCTCAGAGACCGAAGTTTCCTGTGCCTTGTTTCTCACCGTTTCCTAGACATTGTTCTTATCTTTAAGAGCAAAGCTGCAGGGCGTGGTGGCTCATGCCTGTAATCCCAGCACTTTGGGAGGCCGAGATGGGTAGATCACAAGGTCAGAAGATCGAGACCATCCTGGCTAACACTGTGAAACCCTATCTCTACTAAAAATACAAAAAAATTAGCCAGGCGTGGTGGCACACGCCTGTAGTCCCAGCTACTCAGGAGGCTGAGGCAGGAAAATTTCTTGAACATGGGAGGCAGAGGTTGCAGTGAGCCGAGATCGCGCCACTGCACTCCAGCCTGGGTGACAGAGTGAGACTCTGTCTCAAAAAAAAAAAAAAAAGAAGAGCAAAGCTGGGAACGCTGGATTCAAAAAAATAATAATCATTAGAGAGCACAGAGGAAGCGAGCCTATCTGGAAGTGCCACCTGCTTCTCACATTCCACACTGGGTTACGCCTCGCTGCAAGAGAGGCCAAGAAATATGATATTGGAAGTTTGGTCCCTAAATAATTGCATGAAGCCGAATTGCATGCTGAACTGAAACTAAAGAGAAAAGTCAACTTTTAAAATATTGAATTTTGGACCTCTCACTTGTTTTTACTGGCACTTAGACTTTTGTCCTAAGAAACTTAGTAATTGGTTCCAGAAGTGGGGCACACCGATGATATTTGCTTAATAGCAGGGTTGTGAGGACACAGATATTTCAGGCTGGAAAGCTAGGGATCCTCCTTAGGCCAAGGCAAACCGTTTGGTAAAACATGGTCAACCAACTCACTTGGCTGTGATTTTGTCATTATAGAAGGGGAGAATGCATTTTTTTGGAGCACTAGCAATCCACATTCCATCCCCTAGCCACCAAATATATGAAAACATGCTTCTTCCCACCATAGAGTACATTTATACCCTTCCTGGAAGAAGGCAATCTAACATCCCATGTCATTGATGCATCCAGCTCAGAGTCCAAAATCTCTGGCTATTACACAGTCTTCTTCATCAAGCAGGTCTTACTGTTTCTCTCATGATCCAATAATTTGTAACTAAAAGTCAATCTATCTCGCCCTCTCCTCAATGAATATACAATATGATGCCAGTTCCTAGCACATGATAATGATCAAATCTAGCTGGGCAGGATTTATTTATTTATTTTTTGTTTTATTTTATTTTTTTAGAGACAGGGTTTCTTGAACTCCTGATCTCAGGTGATCCACCTGCCTCGGCCTCCCATAGTGCTGGGGTTACAGGTGTGAGCCACCACCCCCAGCCAGGTTTATTTGTTTTAACTCTCTGCTTGTAAAGTAGAATAAATCCTTTGGTGAGACCCTGGTGGATCTCTCTGGGAAACTCTGTCGTCTGTTGTTCACTGTAGTCTCTGGTTTTTCTAGCTGGGGGTGTTCTTCCTTGTCCACTTATCTTCCACGACCATATCTAGAGTGAGTTTTGAGGGGGATGCCCTGCTTGGGAATGCTGCAGTTATCACAGCCCGATTCGTGTGATGCAAATCAGGGACTTCCTTAAGGCTGACACATAGGCTGGGCTCATGGTTTCGAGATAATTCTCTGAAACACTTAGCGAGCTATTTGCTCCCAGTCAGTAACCACATGCAAAGTTCTTCTGAAGACATCATTTTTTACATTTTTTAGTTTACCCAGGCCTCTCTACCATGACAATGGAGGCTGCCTGAGGGCATTTGAAACAAATACAGTAAGTGAAAAGCCCTATTTACTACTCACTCAGATGTGTATCAGGGTCAGATGACTTCTCCAACTCTTTGCAGACTTTTATCTGTGGATTCTTCCATCTCTGTTTGCATGTCGGCCAAGTTCTTGACCACTAAGTCCACGTCTTTCTTGTAATACTTTGCTAAAAGCAGCAGGAAGCAAACAACTCACAACCATATTCCGGCTCTTTCTAATCACTTCATCTAGAAATTCAAGCTCGGTTACCATATGAACTATCTTCCTAGTTATCTAAGATTATAGTGTTACCAATCGTTTTGACTTGGCCTAAGGAGGATACCCGGCTTTCCAGCCTGAAATATCTGTGTCCTCGCAACCCAGCCATTAATCAAATGCCATCTATTCTCACGGTTACACCCCACTTCTGGAACCAATTACTGTGTTTGTTAGAACAAAAGTTGGAGCTTCAGTAAAAAGAAGTGAGAAGTCCAAAATGCAGTATTTTAAACAGACAGAAGTTTCTTTCTCTCTCTAGTTTTGGTTCAACATGCAACTCTGCTTCATGCAACCATCCACAGATGCAGGTTTCTTTCATTTCATTGCTCCATTAATCCCTAAGGCATTTGCCCTGTCTGTAGGTTGGGTCTTAGGTAAGTCCACATACCAGCTTGCAAATAAGGTATAAAGAGAGCATAGAGGAGTTAAGTCTACTGTCTTCGAGGCTTCACTCAGATGGTGCACACATAACTTCCGTTCATATCGTAAGGTCTTTTAGGCTGAATGATGGTGCCATGGCCCGCATATACACCTCTGGAGGGCCTTCTAGAACTAGAAAACCTGAAGTAACTGGAAGACCATGAAAAGCAGAAGAAGAATCAACCCCTGTGGTGCCTAACTAACTTGAGACAATCTTCTTTTGTTTCTTCTTTTGGCCCCAGTTGATAAGGCCACTGGACGTTGTAACCAACCTCGGTCAACCTCATAACTCCAGACCCTACGACCCCCTCCCAGCTTGCAAACCTATGACGCCTTCCCAGCTTGCAAACCTATGACGCCTTCCCAGCTTGCAAACCTATGACGCCTTCCCAGCTTGCAAACCTATGACGCCTTCCCAGCTTGCAAACCTATGACGCCTTCCCAGCTTGCAAACCTATGACGCCTTCCCAGCTTGCAAAAAAAACTGCCCCAAACTGTAACTTTTGTAACTGTCCACTGCTTACCTCAAACCTATAAAACCAACTCCTATTTCTCCGCCCTTCGCTGACTCTCCGGACTTAGTCCGCCTGCTCCTGGGTGAATAAACGACCATGTTGCTCTCACAAAGTCTGTTTAGGGGGAGGTCTCTTTATTCAGAGTGTGCATTTTAACACATATTCCATCAGCGAGAATCACCCACATGTCCTCACTGCAAGGGAGGCTGGAGAATATGGCGTCCCTGCAAGGTCACAATTCTGTCTGCTACAGAAGATGGGGGAGTAGAATTGGTACAGCGAGTATTCTCCAAAGCATGATTCGGTTATTGTCTTCCCACGTAGCCGTGAGCCAATCTTACATACGAGAATGCTG